CGTTATTATCAGGTCACATCTCGTTATTATCAGGTCACACCTCGTTATTATCAGGTCACATCTCGTTATTATCAGGTCACACCTCGTTATTATCAGGTCACATCTCGTTATTATCAGGTCACACCTCGTTATTATCAGGTCACATCTCGTTATTATCAGGTCACACCTCGTTATTACCAGGTCACATCTCGTTATTATCAGGTCACATCTCGTTAGTTTCAGGTCACACCTGTTATTATCATGTCACATCTCGTTTTTATCAGGTCACATCTCGTTATTATCTGGACACATCTCGTTATTATCAGGTCACATCTCGTTATCATCAAATCACACCTCATAATTATCAGGTCACATATCGTTATTATCAGGTCACATCTCGTTATTATCAGGTCACATCTCGTTATTATCAAGTCACATCTTGTGATTGTCAGGTCACATCTCGTTATTATCAAGTCACACCTTGCTATTATCAAGTCACACCTCGGTATTATCAAGTCACACCTCGTTATTATCAAGTCACACCTCGTTATTATCAGGTTACATCTCGTTATTATCAACTCACATCTTGTTAGCGTCATGTCACACCTCGTTATTATTAAGTCACATCTCGTTATTATCAAGTCACATCTCGTTATTATTAAGTCACATCTCGTTATTATTAAGTCACACCTCGTTATTATCAAGTCACACCTCGTTATCATCAAGTCACACCTCGTTATTATCAGGTCACATCTCGTTTTTATTAAGTCACATATCGTTATTATCAAGTCACATCTCGTTTTTATCAAGTCACATCTCGTTATTATTAAGTCACATTTCGTTATTATCAAGTCACATCTCGTTATTATTAAGTCACACCTCGTTATTATCAAGTCGCATCTCGTTATTATCAAGTCCCACCTCGTTATTATCAAGTCACATCTCGTTATCATCAAGTCACATCTCGTTAGCGTCATGTCACACCTCGTTATTATCAAGTCACACCTCGTTATCATCAAGTCACACCTCGTTATTATCAAGTCACATCTCGTTAACGTCTTGTCAAATCTCGATAGCGTCAACTCACATCTCGTTAGCGTTATGTCACATCTCGTTAGCGTCATGTCACATCTCGTTAGCGTCATGTCCCATCTCGTTATTATCAGGTCACACCTCGTTATTATCAGGTCACATCTCGTGAGTATCAGGTCACACCTGTTATTATCATGTCACATCTCGTTTTTATCAGGTCACATCTCGTTATTATCTGGACACATCTCGTTATTATCAGGTCACATCTCGTTATCATCAAATCACACCTCATAATTATCAGGTCACATATCGTTATTATCAGGTCACATCTCGTTATTATCAGGTCACACCTCATTATTATCAGGTCACATCTCGTTATTATCAGGTCACATCTCGTTAGTTTCAGGTCACACCTGTTATAATCATGTCACATCTTGTTTTTATCAGGTTACATCTCGTTATGATCTGGTCACATCTCGTTATTATCAGGTCACATCTCGTTATCATCAAGTCACACCTCATAATTATCAGGTCACATATCGTTATTATCAGGTCACATCTCGTTATTATCAAGCCACATCTTGTTATTGTCAGGTCACATCTCGTTATTATCAAGTCACACCTCGTTATTATTAGGTTACATCTCGTTATTATCAAGTCATACCTCGTTATTATCAAGTCATACCTCGTTATTATCAAGTCATACCTCGTTATTATCGAGTCACACCTCGTTATTATCAAGTCACATTTCGTTATTATCAAGTCACATCTTGTTATTATCAAGTCACATCTCGTAATTATTAAGTGACATCTCGTTATTATCAAATCACACCTCGTTATTATCAAGTCACATCTTGTTATTATCAAGTCACATCTCGTAATTATTAAGTGACATCTCGTTATTATCAAATCACACCTCGTTATTATCAAGTCACATCTTGTTATTATCAAGTCACATCTCGTAATTATTAAGTGACATCTCGTTATTATCAAATCACACCTCGTTATTATCAAGTCACATTTCGTTATTATCAAGTCACATCTTGTTAGCGTCATGTCACCCCTCGTTATTATTAAGTCACATCTCGTTATATCAGGTCACATCTCGTTATTATCAGGTCACATCTCGTTATTATAAAGCCACATCTTGTTATTGTCAGGTCACATCTCGTTATGATCAAGTCACACCTTGCTATTATCAAGTCACTCCTCGTTATTATCAAGTCACACCTCGTTATTATTAGGTTACATCTCGTTATTATCAAGTCATATCTCGTTATTATCAAGTCACATCTCGTAATTATTAAGTCACATCTCGTTATTATTAAGTCACATTTCGTTATTATCAAGTCACATCTCGTTATTATCAAGTCACATCACGTTATTATTAAGTCACATCTCGTTATTATCAAGTCACATCTCGTTAACGTCATGTCACATCTCGTTAGCGTCAAGTCACTTCTCGTTAGCGTCATGTCACATCTCGTTAGCGTCATGTCACTCCTCGTTATTATTAAGTCACATCTCGTTATTATCAAGTCACATCTCGTTATTATCAAGTCACATCACGTTATTATTAAGTCACGTCTCGTTATTATCAAGTCACATCTCGTTATTATCAGGTCACACCTCGTTATTATCAAGTCACATCTCGTTAGCGTCATGTCACACCTCGTTATTATCAAGTCACACCTCGTTATTATCAAGTCACATTTCGTTATTATCAAGTCACATCTCGTTAACGTCATGTCACATCTCGTTAGCGTCAAGTCACACCTCGTTAGCGTCATGTCACATCTCGTTAGCGTCAACTGACATCTCGTTAGCGTCATGTCACATCTCGTTAGCGTCATGTCACATCTCATGAGCTACAAACAAATATTAAACAGATCCATTTTTCTTTTTGAAATTCACTAAAAATTATTCGTAAATATGTGGAAAGTTATAAAACAAATAAAAAAAACGTTTTATCGGCTTTCATTATCAATCTTCAGTTTATTTGTTTATTTATTTTTGTAAATATATATTGTTATTACTTAATGACATCCGAAGGAATTGTGTCCATACTGCAACGAAGCCAGCCTGTTCAAAGGAAATTCAGCACGTGAAATACATATCCAGCATGTTTAAAACCAAGAGCTGTCCCCTCCGATACTAGTCGATTATTGCTGACGTTGCATTCATATTTCCCACTCTATTGGTCTGCCACCTATAACCCTACCAAGGTGGCCGCGGTGGCCATGTGGTTAAAGCGTCATTCACCCCTGAAGACTCATTTGAGCTCTTCCATTTCAAAGGTTGGCGTAGTTCATTATGAAATTTCTGGGGTGAAAAAGTTAATAATACAGAAATTATAGAGATACATCAGACTATTTGTTGCACTCATTAACATTTTCCTGAGAGAAAAAAAAACAAGAAATATCTCCAAATAAGCAAGTCTATAGCCTTACCCTAGACAAGGATAGTGTTACAGAAAAAAATAGACGGGTATGTTCGTGGAAATTAATTAACATTATTTGTACCCCGGGTCTCATTCATTAATATGAATATGCAGACCCTGCCAATAAATAGTATTTTACGTTCTTAAGACTGTCAATAGGAACAGTTTCTAGGTCAACAGAGCTGCTTTTCTCAGATCAGCAGGTCCTCGGATATATTGCCAAGGAAATATATTTCTGTTGACGTGGCATCAACTTTGTCATCGCTTTTTGCTTGAAAATACTTGAAAAATATTAATGAAATTCTAAAACGCTGGCATCATTTCACATATGAGACAAATAAAAGATTACAGTATTTGCCAGCTATATAACAACAATCTATGATCTGATTTTAGTATTTTTATTTGAACTCCGGTCCTATACCGATCCCACAACCGAAACGAAAACAAATATGTCTCAACACAAAATAATTGATATCAAGTTACTTTGAAATAATTGTTACCTGAATTTGATTTTTCTGTGTCTATTTAATCTACGCTATCGATGAATTATCAATCACATTCATATTCAATATATCGAAATCAATTTTATTTTCAGAACTTAGTTATTCAAATGAAAGGATGTTCGTTATCTGTTATTTCGAGCGAGCACAAGCATTGAAAATGCAACACTTGCATATATAATTTTCGTTTTGTTTTTACACAAAATACACAATTAAAAATAGTTATACTTTTACAACTGGTTGCGGATAATATGACGGATAAAAACATACTGAACGCGTCATAATACATGCTTATCAATATTTATATATATCCGAAAGTATTCTGATTTCAAAGCATATCTGTAGCAGGGTTTGAAACCGATACCAAGATAATACTATGGAGTGTTTGCCATTTAATGACATTTGACAATCTGCTGAACGCCACAATGACAACTCTGACGCAATCTACCACGTTACTGATATTAAATACACAAGTAATTATAATAGTTTTATATATTTGCTATTAACCCTACAAATGTATGTATATGCCATTTTCCTCTGTCTACATACTAGAAAATACCTGCATAACATATTTTATTTGCAGAAAAAAACGAAATTTATGGGGATCATTGGTGCAAGGGTGGAAGCAAGACCTCTGGGCTGAATCCGATTTTCGTGCAACTCGCTCAAACCGCGTACCACGATTAAAAGGCAAGTGTTACCATTGTAAACAGTATTCGGCTTCAAGTTTCTCCAAATTTCTTACATATTATTGACAAAATATGATCATTTTATGAATTTTTCACTTATTGTCGATTGGAATTTAGCACAGGCTCTGCGTTTGAGCACGATAACGGTTTCATGAATAAAGGCCCTTGATATTAACGGTCATAAATCCAGTGACCTATTCATCTTACAAGAGTCGGATAGAAGTGATCTTACAAAACGGAAATCCGCTCTACACCTCTTCAGAAAGTCCTAGTTTTAAAATTGGAAAAGGATTAATTTAAAATATGACCTTAGGGAATGCAGAGATGAAAATGTCAGAAGTACAAAAAACACACACCTACCGTCGGTACGAGCACATTATGCTTTTCCTTAGCGCCCATAACAAATGTCGGATTTTCCATTTAGAGAGAAGATGTTTCAAAGTCCCTTGTAAAAACTGACGAGACACATCTGAAAGCAAGCAAGCTTCAGAAGAGGTCGGTTAGCCAGCAAGATTCGGCAAAGATCGGAATGACAATTAATAATGTATGTTTTTTTGTATAGCGGATCTTGCAGTGAGGTTATAGTTTGTTAGCATTGTGAACAACTGTATTTCATAGCAAGATAAATATAAAAGTTATGCATTCCTACAATAGGACGATTGGATCGATGTGTACAGTAGTGTCAACACACGACAGATGTTACACGGGGATCAATCCGGCCTCCATACCCTACAATGAGCGTTACTTACTGTTGTCGCTGAAACCTATTGTTCCAACTTCCGAACTAAAAAAAGTAATTTATTCCTCGGTGTTGAATTAAATTGTTTATAGATTATTGTAAACATATGTAAGGCGTTATAACCATCTGTATGTACTGGTATGTGTTGATGTTAGCCGTCTTGGACAAAGGCCATGGTCATATACAACAACAGTTAGTTTAGTACCAACTGGATACAGTAATTTGGTTGACACGTCAACTCACACCACGTGACATGGAGAGGACAGTATGGTTCGATTCTAACTGATCATACGATACCATACAAGTTTAATTGAAAACGATTTCAAATACAGTGACGTCATGAAATCGAGTTGATGTGAAGGTATTCTTCGATATTATTTCAAATATTTCAACTTTATATAACACATGGTTAAGTCCTACTAGCCAGTTAGCTTATGGAAGCTGGATGATGCTACTTCACAAGTTTTAATAATGAAACGATGGTTCTTTGACCGTCAGTAAAAGCATATTCAGATGCTTACAAATCATATGGTATGGTACCCTAATGACTCATTATCCGGTGGTACATTTCAGCAGTTCATTTATGTTTCCTCCACGCAAGGGACAAGAGTAACAATGTTAAATGAACTGCCCCAGCCGATACTGGCACTCCATATTATACAAATTCTACCATGTTGACAATAACCGTGTATGATAGGTTAGGTTTTATAGAGTTTCACGTCTTATCAACAGCGCATGTAATTGAGGACGTGCCCCCATGTGTGTTGTGTAAGAGTGCATGTGTGTGTATTACCCATCTATTGACATCAACGCTGTATAACCGTACCAAATCCAGCTGGCAATCATATAGGCTATGAATGTCATGGACCGATTGTTGACGTCGTCATCATTATGACGTCATAATTGTTCATTGGATACCACTGACCCTCCCTAGGCGTTGGCTGTTCTATTCATTAAAAATTATACACAATACATACATTATTTGAACTATTGCTGAATAATTATGAGAGTAATTTAATTGTCTTTGAGATGAACAGATTCCAAAAATGGTAAATATAATTATTGAACTGCTTTCAGTTGGCATTCATGCTAGCGGGCTTTATTGAATTTGCCTTTTTCCAGTTGGCACTGTTATTGCTCATGAATGCCAACTGAAATCAGCTCAATGCTTACATGTGTACCGGAGACAGGGAACGTAAAACTAAGAGAATAGGGCTACCAACTGCAGCAAAGAGAAATTATGGCATGAGCTGCAGTCGAACTTCAGCATCGGATAGTTCTTAACTGAAAGCGAGGCGTTTTGTGATTTTCAGCTGTTTACACGCGAAAAATAAAAGCCTTATTGAAAAACTTGTATGGTCTTTGTCACGTTGTCCTAAGACTCCATAATGAGACACAACAGTACATTCAATTACAATTTCCATTTTCCAACAGCCAGAAACATATAGCAACTTCCCAAAGAGACAAGGGACCGTAGCCGTATTATATCGTCAGAATATGAACATGTACGCATGTCAAACCGGGAGATGAATGCTTCCAAAAAGTCATGACATGTACATTTTTTTGTCAGAAACAACTAACATGTATTTTATATCAAAAGATATTTTGAGTTATTCGTCCGAGACTGGACTCTTGTAGCCTATTTAATAGAAAAAAAATGGCTTAAGTCTTACGTGAACGAAAACCAGAATCAAATATTTCTGTGACTAAATTTTAGAATTCTAAAACGAATGACATGATTAAGTGAAGTGTGTATAAAAAGCTTACACAACCAGCAATGTTTAAACTGTGCCAATAAATGTCGTTAAGATGGCGCCACTGTTGTTCAGATTTCATCCCTATCGCCGAAAATAACGATACGAACGTCATAAAGTAGCGTTTCTGGGGCACTGCGTGGGTCGTATAGAAATCATGTCTGTCAAATATATACAGTTTATCAATGTGGATCCCAACATTAATGTACATTTACTAATACAAGTACTTCACCTAAAAAGGCAAGTTATGATATGAATTATTCGTCAGCGACCATTACGTAAATATAATATTTCCCAAATGTACCATTTGAAATGTTCTTTTAATTCCTCAGTGGGTATTTCGCGAATTTGGGTTAACGAATTCCACAACTTATACATGTGGACAGAAAATCGTAACACATGTTTGCATACATGTGGTTAGAAGGTACCTTTAGTTCCTTTGCGAGATACCGACTACTGCAGTGTATCTCGGCCACACCATTTAACATAAATTATCTCCCCTGGGTATAGGCAGTGCATGTTCATAGTCAAAAAGGGATCAAGTTGTCGCGGCGTGGTTACTTTAAATATATGTATATCAGTCATGGCATTTACAAGAGCTATTAAAATCGATCAATAATCATATTTATTTCGTCATGGATTGTTCTATGTTTTCCTAAGTTGATCACTTTTTTCTATTTTGAATGATTCAATTCTGCTTTTAGTGCGTCGATTTTATCAGTAAATATGACATTTATAACTACAAAAAGTCGATGCGTGGAAGTTTAAATGAGAACAAATGTAGCTATTGAACACACATTTACGCAGTAACCTCCCCTGACAGGCGAAAAGGGGGCAACCGGTGGACAAGAACATACAGCATTTTAAACGTTCGTTTTTACTGTACTACATTCATATGTACCAATACCAGATTTATCATTTTGATGACGACTTACAGGATTACACACTTCCGTGTATATGACAGGCGACTCCATGACGTGTGCGACATGTGATACCGGAAACACATAATTCTCCTTCCGTTATTTAGTTCTAGTTCTAGTTATACGAACAAAATTATAAAATATATCCATTTTCCCGTGAAATTTCGTTATCCAAGCAAAATCAATGAGACTTTTGATCAGAAGTGGCAGTGCCTTGGTCAATTCATGACAGAGAAACCAATATTCCGGGTTCTTAAGAGCCAGGTAATATCAGCTGGTGGCCATGTTTCATTGTATTACATTATGTCAGTAAGGTCAGGTTTCTCTGTATTAGATGATGTTGGTAGTTCAGGTTTCACTGTATGAGATGTCGGTAGTTCATGTTCCACTGTAGTATATTACATCGGAAATTCGGGTTTCACTGTATTATATGAAGTCGGTAAAGTCAGGTGTCATTCTATTAAATTATGTCGGTAAAGTCAGGTTTCACTCTATTAACTTATGTCGGTAAAGTCAGGTTTCACTGTATAAGATGATGTCGGTAGTTCAGGTTTCACTGTATTAGATTACGTCGGTAAATTTGGGTTTCACTGTATTAGATTACATCGGTAAAGTCAGGTTTCACTGTATTATATTAAGTCGGTAAAGTCAGGTGTCAGTCTATTAAATTATGTCGGTAAAGTCAGGTTTCACTGTATTAATGTATGTCGGTAAAGTCAGGTTTCACTGTATTACATTATGTCGGTAAAGTCAGGTTTCACTGTATTAAATTATGTCGGTAAAATTTGGTTTCACTGTAACCTATAATGTCGGTAAAGCCAGGTTTTAATTACTAAATTATGTCGGCTAAGTCAGGTTTCACTGTATTACACTATGTCGGTAAAAAAATATTTCACTGTAATATATTTTGTCGGTAAAGGCAGGTTTCACTTTATCGAATAATGTCGACAAAGTCAGGTTTCATTGTAGTATATTCTGTCGGTGAAGTCAGGTTTCAATCTATTAAATTATGTCTGTAAAGTCAGGTTTTATGTGTAAAATTATTTCGGTGACGTCATGTTGTATTGTTTACATTATGTCAGTTAAGTTTGGTTGCATTCTATTCTATAATGTCGGTACAGTCATGTTCTAATGTATCTAGGCATTGGACAAAAAGAAATAAGATGGTGATAGCAGTAACATGTGTGTAAGGTTTATAACAACAACTTCTATCTCACGAACCGTCCCTGAGCAGTTTCGGTCTATGCTGGTAGATAGACATGCAAAAACAGAATCTATAATTAATTTGTCTATAAAATAACAAATGACCTAGATACAGGTAGGCAGTTATTTCCCTTTTTGTTTACACTATATTAAGCACGCCACCTTCAGATCAATTATTCAGGTAACAGTATATAACATGTATACATGTGTTTTACCTTTGGCTGTGTTCAATGGTTAAGTATATGAGTGTTTGCGATTGTTTAACGTTTTAACCAGGCTTTCATTTGAAAGTCTCACCTACATCAAAGACGTGAGACGTGTCTGCTTTCGCTATATTTCCCAAACCAGTGTCTGGGGATACGGAAACTGTTTCACTTCGGTAGGACCCAACAAAATGTCAGAAACACCATATTAGCGTCTGAAACACAATATTATACAAAGGCGAACAACGTAAGACTGCCTTGATTTGGTAAGACACCTCACAATGGCTATAACAACAACAAAGAGAAACAATCTCATTTCGGTAGGTACCATCAAAGTTGGTAACACTACATTTCTTAGATTCCATTTTTTTCATATTTGCTTCATCTTAGTTCTATCTTGACATAATAGTAACATTACTATAGACGTTATCAATGTAGTCATTTCCAGAAAGTCTTGGTTCAATCCAGGCATCCACTATGGCAGTGCACACAAGCATGAGAAACAGGCACGAACTGGTGTTATGGATTGATGAGCGTATTCGATACAACAGGTGGCACCCGTCATATTGTCTACTGTCAACATTGGAAAATCCTAAGGAAACCTGGTACATGTATATGATTAAAAGTTTTGTGCGTAAATAACTTACTCGGGAATAGTCGTAGCAACTCGGAAATAGCTTATTTATTCGGGAATAGTCGTGTCAACTCGGGAATAGTCGTGTCAACTCGGGAATAGCCGTATCAACTCGGTAA